AGATAGAGAATCTTTGAAATCTTTGAAGGCAGCAATACTATCTTCATCTGACACGATTATACAAATTAATTTGCCAGTACAAACATTTTTTGTTCCTGCAGGTACTATGATCTTTGCTAAATATCCTTCATCCGGTGTTTCAAAGATTATTAGTGCTTCACCAGTTTTAATTTTAGCAAGTAAATCACCTTTATTTAATTTATCACCTAAAGAATTTATAATATTGAGAATTATTAATGGAATTTATAAAGGACATAATAAATATTCATATTACCTTCCTTTTTGAGCCAACTGACAATGGTACCTGTTTCCATAGTAGATGATAATGCAGGAAATTGTACTTTTACATGGATTGGATAATCTGCATAAAATCTTAGCTGTTGCTTCCATGGAATTACCGAAAGATATAAAGTATTATGAACCTGAATTCTAAATATTAATCAAAAATTATAATTATAATATTTCATTTAAAAAAATCTTTAAAATTAAAGAATAAAATAAAATTTTTCATTTCATTTTTCAATCTTATCCTTATTGTAAATACAAATCTATGAAAAAATAAATCAAATGTAATAGAATTATTAAAAATAAATATCTTCTGTAAAATTTTCAATAGAATGATTGACATAAGGAATATTCAACATAATCGGTAATGTAAATCTTATTTAGAAAACAGCAAAAGTTAATTTCATGAGTAAATATGATAATAACATAAAATGAAATACCTTTGTAAATATTTTCTGTGAAGCCATTGTATAACTATCGATCTTACAGTATTCATGTTTAGAGAACTTCGTAATATATATATATTTATATATCAATTCATTAAACAAATATATTCATTGTTATTCGTATCATATTTCTATTATTAGAGAATCTTTTATTGTTGATTTTAATAGAAAATCATTTGATATTAACTGGAGGTTTTGCTTAAACATTTCCAACAATGTTCCAAGAATGTCAATGATGTATGGATATTTTTATTGTAAAATATGTCTAAAAATTATTAAATTGAAGGTCGTTTACAAGGTCACATTCAAATTTAAAGATAGTTTTTAAAAGTAAAAATTTTATTGCAGAAATCATTTATTAATTATAAAATGAATTATGAAATGAAGAGAAAAGAAGAGAATGAAAATAAATAGAAATCGTTTTTTGTTTTTGATCGAGTGAAAATTTATATCAAAGTTTTCTATCTTATAATAAATTATGTTATTGATGAAATAAAGGGGATACCGTGATTCGTTAAATCAAAGTAGTCTGATTATGTTCACGCACTTCAGCGCTAATGATATCGAAAATAAAGGAGTTTAACATCTTATCGATATTTATTTCCTTGCAAATTTTAAATTTTGAAACTTCTTTCGAATTTTAATAATTTTTCATCTGAAAAATGTGCACAGATTTTAGAAATTGTAGAAAAATTATTTTTTCAAAATGAAAATAATAAAATAATAAATTAGCCAATATAAATAATTATAAATTAAAATGCAGAACCTAAAATCGAAAATTCAGATATTTATAATGAGGAATATAAAATAAATTACAATCAATTTCAATTAATTAAACAATATAATGTTATAAATAATATATTGTTTTATTATTAAATTTATTATTTAAATACTACTTTTAATTATATTTTTCATTTATTAGATAGAAAATCATATAATTATTGATAACTTTAATCTTTATCATGATAATTGAGATAATGATTTCCTAATGCTGATATTCGTATTAAGTAATAAAATTCGTTTCATGATCTAAAAATAATTAAAATCATGTAAAATTTGTTATTTAAGATATAATAACAATGCTCAATATCGTATGAAATAAAACTGATTTAAATGGAACAATGAATGGTTTAGAAGCGTATATGAATCGAAGCCATTGAAGCCATATGGCATGATGACATACCATCTATAAATCTTATTTATAGAGATATACCTTTTTTTAATTAAATAGTTGAAAATTTATCAACGGATATAAAAAATTAATTAATTTTTAAATCAAGCATATCAATATTTAATGACAAAAAATAAAAAATTTTATGTTAAAATATTAATAATTCATGTTCGAGTTAAAAAAAATTCGAATGTTGCAATTTATTACTTCATCATGATAATTTTTTTTTTTTTGCTGAATCAGATATCATTTTTGGACTGACTAAAAAGATCTGATCAAAATGTCATTCAATCCACTAATTCTTTCGATCAAAATGAATCTAATTGATCGAGAATGTTCTTTCTTCTATATAAAATAAAATTCAATAATAATTTATGGCAAGTATAAACAAAGGATTTTGATACGCTCTAATATATTTTTCTTGCTCTATTTTGAACTTCTCATATTCTTTTTTGTCTTTTAGAAATCCAACATATTAAATAATAAATAAATTTCTATTTTTAATGAATTATAATTCAATTAATTTTTATTATGTAGTTTTTATTTTCAAATTAACAACAAAATAAATCCGAGACATAATATTATTATAATAATGATAATAATTACGGGTTATTTCATTTTGAAGTATCGCATATCTAATAGATTTAAGAAAAAAATTATAATTATAATAATATTTACAAATATAAATACCTCATTTTCTGTATTTTATTTTTTTAAAATAACTACGTTATTTTTTGAAATAACGAATTTTCTTCACGAAACAATAATATATTTCCTAAAATAAATATTAGTTCATTTATATTGTTTAATATAATAAGGATTTTTTGATTCACCATTATTATTGCACTCTCTCAATGTTGTAATCGATATTAGTCATTCGATAAAATTCGTTTACCTTGTCCAGATTTTCAATTGTGGTATTAATGCATGGATCGATAGTAGTCGCTACTATCGCTGGTTATCGATGACTCGCAACAATCTCGATCTCGATATTTGAGTTCATTTGCTATAGTAACAGTAACCTTATTTAACTATGAAAGAATTTTATGAAACTTTTCGAAACGAAATTTTTTACAAATATCAGGTACAAACCGATATATATTATTTATAGTCATAATATCCAGGCCATAACAAATAACTATAATAACCACAAATAAACATTGCAAATTTCTTGATTTTTTAATGCAATACAATCGATCGATAGACAAACGTTTCCTTTCCGTCTATACATTGGTAAATATTATATTAGCAAGTACTCTTATTCGAGCATTCGATTCTATCTATCTATAAAAGAAGATTAAAAATAATGATATAATATAAAATTTGAATATTTAACTTGATCATCTTATCGCATAAAAATATTCACGTAAAATAATTATCGCGTAAAATATTCACAAAATTTTCCTTTATATCCTTTATAGTAGAAATATTTTTCACGCATTCTCCTATCCATCAAAATAGAATAAATCATTTTGCTTTTTTTATATCATCGCATTCGGCAATTTTTATTGCTCGAAACATATCCTTGTCGCAATTTGAAAAATATTTTATAGGATATAAAATGTAGGATATTTCTAATAATTAGGAGAAAATGTGTTAAAAATTCATTTTGATATAATTCAAAAAGAATAGCTACATATATGAAAATATACATTTTATTTCATGTTCAATCTGGAAAGAATATTATGAAATTGGAATTGGAAATTTTATCACATTAATAGCTTACGTGACTTCATCGTTTCTTTTTCTTTTTTTGTTCAATTTTTATTTATTAGTCATTATTCAATACATTACACTGAAATCAAAAGAAACAATACTTTTGTTTGAGATTCAAAGCAATTTCAAAAAATTTTATTTTTCTTCTCCATTCAATTCTTTATTCCGTTTACTTTTTATGTACATTCAATGTATTCATAGCAAACATGGAAAATAAAATTGATAAATTTTAATCAATAAAAAAAACAATAAAATCTATAATCAAATTATATACATCTTTAGGAAATATTTTCTTAACTTACACTTAAATAGATAATGGAAATAGAATTTAAAAATATCTAGTCGTTCGCTCTAACGTGATTGCAATATGATGTTTGTGTAATACGTATCTAAAATATGTTTGATTTTATTTATCATTGTATTTCATTGATATACTAAATGTAAAAAATAAAAAAAAAGTATAAAATTCTTTCCATGATATCATTATCTTATCATCAATTTATTATATAACTCTGAATTTAATTTATATTTATCTAGATAAAATTTATATTTATGTAGATATAGAAAATTTTTTTTGTAAATTATAGGAATAATTGCATAATAATATTATACATAGATGAATAATATTATGTACAATATACATATTCCATATGATAAGTTTGCGAAGAGATGAAATCTTAGTGAAAATCGCTCGTTTTATTTTATTTTTTATATCTCGTTGTATTTAATTAATTTTTTGACGATATTGGAATATTCAAAATTATTAACATTTACAAATAATATTGAAGAATATAAAATATAATTTTATTACAATATTCTTTTCACAAACAAACAGTTTATCAGATATATGGCACTATATTTTTAAAATGATAATGCATACATGATGAACTTATCGATTCAACAAGTTTCATCTTGCAATAATATGTCAAATGGATCAATATCTACAAATGATATAAACTTTATTTTTTTCTATTTGAAATGAAAATTATTTTCTAATAATTCGTAAGATTTAGCAAAATAAAAATTTGATAAATATACGTGTTTGTTCCTTTGCAATCAAATTATCACTAACTATTCTTATTATACTACATTATTACAATCGTATATACCCATCATACATATCGATGATATTTAACATTTATATAAATTGTATATTAAAATTTGTAACTATATGAACTTCATCATCGTGCCATAAAATAGTATTATACAAAACATTATAGTAAAAATGGTAATTAACAATATTAAAATGTACAAATTTTCCTTAATATCGTGCAAGATTCGATACAATCTCTCTTAGCAACAAAACAAATTTAGTCCCAATCATTTTTTGTAATTTTTAAAAGACACAATACACTATAATTATAAAAAATAACATTTAGAGATATTAATTGATTATTTGAAAAAATTTTATTCCTATTCATATTATTATTTCTTAACAAATTTCAATATTGATTCTAAAATTCACACTTTAGTTCTATAAGATTTATCTTGCGCAATAACTCGTTTCAGAAACAAGCTCTATTGACATTATTATTAAAAACTCGTATTAAACGAGTTTCGCAATATTATAACAGTTATAATATAACTATATATTAAATGTTCCATAACTCCCACACATAGGTACACGTTACTTATTCAGATTGGAAAAAAAGGCAATCGAAAATAGTTGGATATGTTGCGAAGTTGTCGATCATGTCGATCATAAAACGATTAAGGTTTCCTTTCCGAACTAGAGATACGTCTGGTTAATTGTTGATGAATAACTGAGGTATCTGAATCTTTGGTTACCATTCCAGGAATAATTTCTTCTTTCTTAAGAGTATCACTGTTTGATGTATTATCTGATATTTTGTTTAGTAATAAATTTTGTACGAACATACTTGTGCAAGCCCATGGCAATAAGCTAGAATAAAAGAAAAAAAAATGTGAATTACATTACATTAGAATTGCAGTTTTTAAAGTATGAAAAATGTTTTATAAGAAATTTTCATCTTTTCTTCTTTTTTATAATCATTAGAATAATAATACTTTTGCCGATGCATTTTTGTTTACCATTTTGCAAGAAGGAAAATTCGTATGTAACCAGGAATTATAACGAGTTTTTCATTGCATCTCACAGCAGTTACTATTCGATCCGCCACTTTATTCGGCGTAAGCCTCGGTAAAAGTCTGAGGAATGCGAGGACAGACATATAGATCACCAATTTTACATTTCCATTTATGTAGATATAATAAGAATCAAGTTATACTTAGGAGAAACTTCGCCAAACATGCCAGTGCTTCGAATGAAAAACGGACATACCACGGTCATATTGATATCATATCCATCAGCCTACACAGAAAATAATTATTTTTTTTTTTTTTTTATGAAACGTATTTATTCATTAAACAAATGTTACTTGAGATAAGTAAAAATAAGTAAAGAAATTTACAATTAATTCCATATGAAGAGCTTCTTCGAATCCGATTGCCGCATATTTCGAAGTGCAATAATCCACTAAGCATGGTACTCCTACAAATCCAGCTAAACTTGCGATACTTACAATATGACCTTTGTTATCTTCCAGCATCGAAGGTAAGAACGCTTTCGTCGTCTTGAGAAAGAAAAATTAAATTAAATAAGTAACATTCAAATATCTTTCAATGATTAAATCTTAAAAACTCAAAATATTATACAAAAAAAAATATATATATATATATATCATTTTCAGCAATTTATACATCAAATAATAATATAATTATATTTTAATATATTTTTAGTCTCTTGAAAAGAATCAATGAGAATATTGACAAAGTAAAAACATAGTCAGCTACTTTTAGAGAAGTGGTTATGTTTGCCTAGTCTATATGTGTTTAACATAAGTAAATATAATTGTAATACACAAGTATTCTTTCTTATTATAACAAAGACATTATAAGTAGGATGAAAAGATACGAAAATTCGAATAATCGATCGAATTATGATCGATGGAATAAACAGATACGAAAACGATTTAATAAAATTTGTCTAAACAATCGACAGACGAAACAAAAGATCTACTATTTGGCTATTAACCTATTTCTCATAATCCAATCTTCCTCTCCCCCCTCCTCGCTCCCGTTTCTCGTGATTTCACTTTCGAAAGTAAAATATTTTAGTTTAGTGCATAAAAATGATTCTGAATGTGGAGGCAAAGTCTAAAAACAAATCTACGAAGAATTGTATTGACGTGAAAAATGATAATTCATATTACCATGTTTTTAAAAATCACATATTACACACGGTATTCATATAAAATTTTCCGAGAAGAATTTTATCTTTGGAAGAATTTCGATTACGTACGACATGATGAAATTTCAATGAAAAATAACAATTCTAAATATAATTACATCTCGAAGAGTGGAGACTGAAATAACTAAATATTCGAACGTTGAATAAAATATCTGCACAACAACGCCAGATCTTATCCCTATTTTATCTTTTCTATTCGATCTTTATTTTTTATATATATATATTATATATATTATATTATTTTTATATATATTTTTTTTATATATAATATATTATATATATTATTTTTTTATTATATATAAATCACAAAGATTACTCTTAATATCGATGACAAAACGTATGAAATCGGATATTCTTCAATCAGTTGTGCTATGATATTTATCCTTCGTGCTCCGAATCAATGCTAAGTTAGCTCTTTTACCGATCCAACACTCGTGCACGTTGATGATGTCTCGGTATGGATGATGTCTCCCTGAACTTTCACTCGGTATCCCGTTACTTTGGCTAATCTCTCGTGATTCACGAAATCGTCAATATTTTTACTGCCGGGAATAATATCATATTTGTACAGAAATAAGACAGATTCCAAGCAACGCCATTATTACGATTATCGAAGATAATGATTTTACTTTCGGCGACGATTATCTTTATGAAGATTATATTAAGACATTGTGACAGCTATATAATATAATAATTTGCTTTTTCGACAATACATTGCACCAATAAGTTTTTCTACAGAAGAATTCAATATTATCAATACGTTTGAGCAAGCGTGTTCCATGCATGTCGCAACTACGAGCTGTACTGTAACTGCACGGACGAGTGGCTGCATCTATTCGACCGGTTTTCCCACATGACCTACAGCAATACTCTTAAATGGAGAGAACATCGTCGCGTAAGGAATGCCTCTCACTTGGACCTCACACTGCGAAAGGAATAATTATTTTTCAATTTGAATTGATAAATTTAAATTTGTCAAGATTATTTTGTAATATTCTTATTACGTTTTGGAGGTTAGTATATCTATGGCAATAGTTTTCGCAAATAAATTATGAATATACTGAACTTTTCTTGTGTGTGTTATTCGTTCCACATTCATTGTCATTTGTCAAGGAAAAATACTCATCTTTATTTCTTTATCGAAATAAAAATTGCTGAAAAATGATAACAATTAAAAGTAATGGATTTGAAATAAAGACATACCCAAAAATGACTCATCACGTTCACGTCCATTGTTCGTATAAGAAGTTTGTCCGGCGAATCTAAGAACTTCAATCCCTGGGCCACACCAGCGTTATTTATTAAAATAGTAACCTGCAATGTTCAAACATAGAATACTTCACTCGTTTGCTATTGGTAAGAATTAAATTAAAAGTATCGTAATTTAAAATGTTTAGACAAAAGAAACGAAAATTGGAATGAATATATACAATGATTCTAGAATTTCATGCTTCGATACAAGATTTCATAA